CACTTCCGCTTTGGCTACTTCCGCTTTGGCTACTTTCGCTTTGACCACTTCCGCTTTGGCTTAATGTAATTCCGTTTTTTCAAATGTAATTTTGTTTTTTCACCACTTCTGCTTTGGCTACTTCCGCTTTGGCTTAATGTAATTCTGGTTTTTTTTTTTCAAATGTAATTCCATTTTTTTCAAATCTTGTTGTGTTTTTGTTGTTTTTTCAAATGTAATATTGTTTTTTTTTAAATGTAATTTTGTTTTTGCAAATGTTCATTCGCACCTCAGGGCCACTGTACTCATTGCTTTCTATACTGTTTATGTAATCAAACTACTTCAGCACATTTTCAGATATTTAAACCCTTTTGATATTAAAAAGTTCAGCTCGTTCAGGACCTATGTGTTAAAATCTTGTGTTTTATGTATTATTTTTAGATATTTAACTTAAGTTTACAAAAAATTGCAAAAAATGCTTCAAAAACGTTATTGTTTTTGAATTGTATGTATTTCAGTGGATTCTACCTCAAAACACCATTCAGACTTTGAAAAGGTACCAAGACGATTCAGCTGATTTTGTAAAATATTTCTAAAATCAAAACAATTTATTTTTATTAATTAACCTTTATTTTACCGGGCAAATCCCACTGAGATTACAGATCTTTTTTTCAGGAAGACCTAAGCCTGAAGGCAGTCTGACGTGCATGTTTTTGGACGGAGAGATGAAACCGGAGTATCCAGAGAAAACCCACGCAAACATGAGGAGAACATACAAACTTCACATAGAAAGACCCCCGGTCCATAACGGGGATTGAACCCGGGATCTTCTTGAGGTGAGGCAACAGTGCTAACCACTAAGCTGTCGTGCTGACAAATTTTAAAACGACAACAAAAAAAAAAAAGGTCATTTTAAGTTGTTTTTTTTTTCCAGTTTTCAGCTGTGATATTTTAATTGTGAGAACTTCCTAAACTTGTAAAACATTTTATTTGACTATTTTTAAATACATATACGAAATGTATATCAAAACAGAAGAACCAGTATGTTTTTCACCCAGTGTTTTTTTTTCCTGTTGTACGACTGATTATTTTCCTTCAAAATCCTCCCAGAAGTTCGAGTCTACACACCCAATCCATCACTTCCATTGTATCCGAGCTTTGAATTTTCTCTTCCAAACAGGAATTGAGAGCTCTCTTCATCTTACTTCCTACATAATCAAACTATTTGTCTGAGACTTACATTTTACTCAGTGTTTCTGTCTGAAGTGTTGTTGTGTCCTGCCCCTCCCCTTTCTGCTCCCCACAAAAATGTGGGAATCACCGTGGAAAACAGTGACTCAGTGGATTCTATGTTTCTGGATTTCTATATTACCCAGCATGCCTTCCTAATCTATTTCCATTATGGCCACCATAGATCCAGTAGAACGTCAGACTTTGTCATATGTAATCAGACCTTTGATGACCTTTGGGTTGAGTCAGAGTACCAGCACAATTTAAAGTCCGAATTAAGGAAGAACAGGAAGTTTGAGCCATCCATCCATTATCTTTTACCTGCTTCTTCCATTTAGGGTCATGGGGGTCGCCGGTGCCCATATCCAGCAATCACTGTGCGAGGGGCGGGGTGCACCCTGGACAGGTCTCCAGTCCATCACAGGGACACATAGAGACAAACAACCATTCACTCTCTCACTCACACCTAGGGACAATTTAGAGTTACCAATCAGCCTAACATGCAGGTTTTTGGTCTGTGGGAGGAAACCGGAGTATCCGGAGAAAACCTACGCATGCACGGAGAGAACATGCAAACTGCACCTAGAAAGGTCCCCGGACTGGGGTTTGAACCAGGGTAACCTGCTCTCTGAGAGGCAGTGGCTCTACCAGTTGCACCACTATGCTGCCTGGAAGTTTGACCATGGCGTTTCAAAATAAAACTCACTCTTTAAAATAGTCTTGTTTTGTCATGGCTTAGTTTATTTCTAATGAAATTTAGGATTCTTTTTGGACGTTAGAGAAGAAAATGGGTGTTAGAACTGCCGTGAAACCTTCTGCCTTTCTGCAAAAATATTTGGTTGTTGAGATCCACTGGGATCTTGATCAACCAAAGTACTGGCTGGAAACAGAATGCAAAATCAGGTAAAGTCTCAAGTATGCTATGCATTTGTTTTTTTTAATCTCTTATACATCTTTAAATGGTTCACTTCGGTTTTAAAACTAGAATTAAACTAATTTTAGGTGAGTTTTCTGCCGCATTTTGGACATTTTTAGACCGATTTTAGCATTTACAGGTTTGTTTGTCTCGTTTGTCTCTATGTGTCCCTGTGATGGACTGTAAACCTGTCCCCCGCCTCTCGCACAGTGATAGGTGGACATGGCCACCAGTGACTCCCACAACCCAAAATGGAAGAAATGGGTAAAGATAATGATGGCTGGATGGTTTGAACAGATTTTAAACAGGTTACCACTTTTTTTTTAACTTGTAAAAATCTGATTTAAAACTTGACTTCAGGTTGATTTTTGTGATCTGATCTCAGACCACTTGAGGAGCTTTTCTGATATTGGTTCAAACCCGGTTTTGAGTTCTGGTTTCTTTTCGTTGGGCTAAATGCTTACCTGACAGATGCACAGAAAGTGTTTCAAACCGTTCAGTCATAGTCTGTCAGCCGTCATGATCTCGGCTTGTTTCTGTATGAACTGAGCAACACGGTTTTCTTAGAAACCGGAGCGAGTCCATTCATGCAGACTGGATGAGTCGTTCAGCCTCGCTCGTCTCGTTTATTCGCCCACATCCCTTTATGCTGCCGAAAACAGAGTGAGTCATCGGTTCTTCACGTTTCTTCTTAGTCTTCCCAACACACGCACGTTCTCTTTTACACACATACTCATTCCTGTAATTTTACAACAAAGTCTGCCTCTTATTTTGAAGAGTATTTCTGAGTTTTATTCTGAAACTCAACATTCAAACCTCTTCCTGTTTATTCTGACTTTAAATCTAGATTTTTACCAATGCTCTGACTTATTCCTCGTGAAAATTAAAGGTGTAATTAGAGACAATGTAAAGTCTAAAAGTCTACAGGATCAAAAGGGGTGGCCATGATGGAAATAAAATAAAAGCATGCTGGGTAAAAAAGGAACTCGGGGACACCAAATTTGCAGTCTCTGACTGCCATGGTGGTTTCTGCCGTTTTTATGGAGGAGCAGAAAAGGAAGGGGCAGTACTTCTGATGTTTGGGGAAGTTTGAGAGAAAGTCCTTCAGCAAAGCGAATAG